AAATCAACAAAATGTGTTCAAAGAGTTGTTACTTTCAGAATGGCTGTTGTGTCTATCTGCCAGCGTGCTGCACACAGCATCCCCCACCCCTGACACTGTGGTTTGCTGCAACTCATAACCTTTGAGACTTGAAACATCTGTGACATTTCTGAGAAAGCCAGCTGAGTTACACGAAGGCAGGTTGACTACAGGGACTCTTACCCGCTGACAACTGATCATCTTTCTAGACACTATACCTCATGGAAACTTTGAAATGCTGTATTTCACTTTATGGATATGTTATGTTTCTGTTCCTTACAACGCTCAGCACAGGTACAGTAAATGAATGTGAAAACTACTTTTTTTTGCTTTACCTACTTATAGGCTAGCATTGATGTGCTTTTAATAATTGTCCAGTCATATCAAAACACAATCCTAATCAGACAGGTGAAAGTAACAAGGCTTAAAATGTTGGTTAGCTTATCAGCATCATGTGGTTTCCACTAACAGATAGTATCTGCACTGTGTTACTAAAGTGCCGGTGCTTATAGTCTGATGTTTTACAGGTATAACCTCTTTACAAATAGAACAAAATTGTTCTCAATTTGAAGCTTGGTTCAGTTTATTTAGACAGAACTTTAGGCCTATAACCTCATCAGAATGGCAAGATCAATATGATCTAGGGTCCCTTACAAAGTGCTTCAGAGTAAAATGAGAAAATGAAAAAAAAGTGCAATTTAAAATAGAATAAACAATTTAAAACATGTTAAATCAAATAAGAAAATGACAGCTGCAGCCTTTCTTGATTGTAATTTTGCTTTAATTTCTAACGAAGAGGTCCTTTGTCAGGTTTGCCGTGTAAGGACGACAAACGGTGTTGTGTGGTGGACTCAATTATAAGACCAGACGAACGATATAACAGAAGATAATTTACTAGGAACAACCAGGTAAACGATACAAAGTCCTAGAAGCTAAATCAGGTCAATAAACAATCCAGGGTCGGCGCCGGTAGACAGGAATAGCCAGGAGATCCAGATTCGGGTAGTCAGGGGAAAGCTCAGAGGTCGGTATACTGCAGACAATCAGAACTAGAAGGGCACAGGCAAAAAACGGTAGTCAAACAAAACAGCATCGGAGGTCAGTCACGGAGAATTAGGCACGATAAGAATGCTGGAAAGTCAGAGCTGAGGTCTAGAACAATCTCGCAGCGTCCTGTGGGAGGACGCTGCCTAAAAGGAAACAAAAAACTGGTGCAAACAATAAGGAACAGGTGAACTAATGATGATTAAATAAAAGGGCCAAAACTGAGGTGAAACAAAACAGGAAGTGATGTGAAAATAAAAGCCTGACCGGAAACAGCGGAACCGAATCATGACAGTCCTTGTTTATTTTTGGAGTAACCCAGTAAAATAAAGGCTCAAAGAAATTCATAAATGAGATCATTTTGATATGTTTTTCTTTAAAGGGTCAGCATGTGAAGCTCCTTCAAGTCCTCAGTGCTTCAGGAAAAATGTTGCCGCGACTGAATACATGTGTGAATGGAGCATGAACACGACTGAGAGTGATGTCACATTTGATCTGTACATTGAGTGGGTATTTTTAAACTGTTTGAGCTGCAGTATTTTAAAATGGTGACATATACTAAGCTAATAACGTGTCTATTGTGACTTTCATACTTTTGTATTTTGAGAATGAGTATAGCTGTAAAAAATAAATAAATACAAATACTAGACATAGTGGAAATGGCACCCATCACTTCTTTTGTGGTTGTCTCCCAAATTCCTATACACAGTCTAATGTCTTTTGAGATGTTTCCATAGTAAAAAAAAATTCAGAGGCATTAAAAAGACCTGGTTGGAAATTACTGAGGAGGAGCTGATCAAATCAAGGCCAGTTAACATTTCGGTGGAAGCTCATGAAGGAAGCTCCAGCTGCACATCACCCATAAGGACAGTGGTACTTCAGCACACAGGTACAAGATGCTTTTTTCTGTGATGGAAATTATTATTATCCACTCCTTCAGTGCAAGTGAGAAAGAATAAATGAACTCACTCCAATAATGTGTCTTATAATGTTATTATGAAAAAAGAATAAGTGAGGATAGGTATAAAGTATCTCACCTGAGAGGACATTGGTCTAAAACACATGCATTGAGGGATCAGAGTTCAACAAAGAGCCAAATCTTCACACACACTAACATTTGAAGCCAGATGGCCAGTTTTTTTCATGGGAGTGCAAGGGAGTCAGTGCAAGCCAGAGACAGAGTGAGGCAGCAGATTGTAGAAACCTGACCCCATCTAGTTTCAACAGAGATAATAAACTGTATTTCCTATGTCTACATTTCCCTGCAAAAACATGCTCATTACTACGAACAAATATAAGGATTTCCCCAACATTTGCCAATTACACTAAGTTAATAAAGAACAGTCTGACTTTAGGTTTTTAATCTAGATTCAGTACAAATGTAGCCTATAATAAGCTGATGAAATAATTAAAAAAAAACATTACACACAAAATTTTGCTTCTTTTCAACAGTTAAATATGAAGTGCCACAAAATATTTCAGTATCCTGGTCAACGAACAACCTCAGCTTAATCTGGAACGCTGCAGAGAAGCATCCAGCTGCAGCTGAGGTCTGGTTTCGACCAGATGAACGCCCCACAGAATCATGGGGAAGAGTAAGGAATGTTTGTGTTTTGTTAACAAATTTGTTGTATCTGAGATAAACCTTTACAGCTTCCAATAACCATTTTAAACTTATATCTGCATTGCTGTTACAGATATTAACAAATGCCACCTACCGCTACACCACCTATAAGACGTTAGTGTGTAAGTACTCTCATGTTATTGTATTTCACTGTAATCAACATCTTTTGAATGAAATGTCTGTTCATGATTATTTCATGTTTTCTGTGGCTGATATACACTACCAGCCAAAGATTTGGACACACATTCCCATTCAGTTCAATGGTAATTCAGCTTTTGACTGAGGGTCTAATTTTGTTCTTCTTTTGGATCTTCTGAGACAGGACCATGCTGCTGGTTTTGTCTGTTTTAGTCCACTGAATGTATGCTAAACTCCTTTTGTAAAAAGTAGATTGCTTCAATTTCTTTCTTTCTTTTTTTTTGAAGCATTGTGTATTAGGCTCTAGTAAGAGAGATATTCCACTTGCAGAGTCTGGAAGATGTTTTTTCTTTCTAAAACCAAAAATACAAGAGAACATTTATGAGAAATGCTGCTTATCTGTTAACCTACAGCAAGTTGCAAACGTTAGCACATGTGGCTAACTAGCTACCATAGGCTACAGCAGCAATGCTGTATTCATGCATTGTCAGCTGAATAGGAAGAATTAAAAAACACCTCTTGTTGTGATTTGGGAGTTATTAGCCCTACACTTAACACGTAACATTGAGGTTAATCACGAGTGTTGGGCAAGTTATTTGAAAACTGTAAACAGTTACTCACTAGACATGACTTAGTGAAAAAGGTAATTACACTAGGCTACAGTTTACTCATTAGCATGTAATGTTACATCATTTGTTACTCTACTTTCAGCTGTCAGTCCTGTTGAAGTTGCCTTTAATTGCAGAGCCTCTGTATCCACATTTATTCTTTGTATTAAATGTGTGGAAACAGAAAACAGGACATTGTGGTTTAACTAGAAGGCAGCACTACAATCTGGAAGGATATAATGACCATCCAGCAGCTAGCTTAGCCTCTGTGACTGCCCCCTGCTCTCCACAGGTCCCGACCTCCTCCCTCACACTCCCAGTAAGACAGCAACTAGCTGACCCCCAGATATCAAACTAACAGAGCATTACTGAGATCAGTACTTTATTACAAATTGTGATGCATTCACCGTTCATTACTGAAAAAACCTAGTTACTTTACTGTGCCACATTACTAACTAATGCCACCCAGCACTGTCAGAACACATCAATATGTGTCGCTTTGTAACTGTCATGTGAATCTTTTTGGAAAACACTGATGAGCAACCATTTTTGTCATTTATATACAAGGACTTATATAAAATGACCAAAACTCAAAATGTGAGCAAAATGTCACTATTTTCATTTTTATCTACACAGACCAGGTCACTGTTGTGAATCTCTTGAAGCATACACCCTACCATGTCCGGATCAGACATCGGTCCACTCAGGCCCTAAACTCACTGTGGAGCAATTGGTCTCCAGTTGTGATGGTTCCCACAGGTGAACTCATATGTTACTTACAGTACTCTATATAAACAAATGAACTTACAGGGTATATTGCACTGTGTATATTGAATCCATTTTGATTTTTAATAATTTATCTCTTATGATTTACATCATTTGACACAAAATGGATATTATAAAGGATATCATAAAGCCACACTCAGTGGCTTAGTTAAAATATATATCCTAAAAATGTGTCCCAACAACTCCCACTTACACAACTAAAATTATTTTTGTTTTAATTCCTTGAAATGTATTGAGGTATAAGTTTAATTAGACTTCATTCATTCATTTGTCTTAATTGGTCTTTTCACTAATATTGTGCGTTTTTACTGTAGAGATTGAACATGAACCTGAAGTCAACATGACAACAACACATTTAAATGGCACTCGAAAGGTGACGCTAACATGGAAGGTAAGCCAGTTTCTACCATTCTGTGTTTCTCCTTTGGACTTTTCATTTCACTGAGTTAACTGTTGCCCCCAGACTGGGCTGTACCACTCATAGATATTAACTTTTACTTGTTCAGTTGGTTCAGTTCTCCTTCTGAACTGAGTTCTTTTCTGCTCTTCAGCCAATGCCTCATGCAGCAGCAATCGGAGGAGTTACTTACATCCTAAATGACACGCAGTCCTCTCATGGATGTCCTTGTGTGAAGAAGCATCTGCACAACGTGACTAAACATACTGCTGACATGTATGTGTCGTACTCTGCTGTTAACATCTCTGTTATTGCCAGAAACGCAGCTGGCTATTCTCGTCCAGCAATCATACAAGTACCGGCCAAGCCTCCTGCAGATTTAAAAAGTAGGCCAGAGTGTGTGTGCGGAAGAGGGACGGGGGATCACATATCATGTATATTTATTCTTAGGTAGACCTTAAAGGCTGTTATTTCTTTTCTCCCTTGCAGCTTGTGACCAAACTTTGGTGAAAAATACAAAAAATTGCCAGGAGTGGTATGAGCTTCAAGATGGAGAGTCAAGGCCAGAAAATGTGATAACTTTAACAGCAAAGACAGAAGAAAAACATAGGGAGGAAATAAAGAGTAAGTTGTATTTAAAGCGATCTTAGCTACACACGTTCATCCTCTCTGCTTTACACAGGACGTGAACAATGGAGAAGATAAAGACAAACATGCACCAGAGATGATTCAGTTTAAATTCTGCACAGCGTGGCATTGATTATCCACCAAAACTCTTTGGTCATGTATTATTTTCAAAATTGTTTTATTTTTATTGCCACCCTGATGAAGACAGTAAAATGGATCACACTGCAAATCACAACCAGATGAAATTCCATTGCAACAGCAAACTCATCATTTGCTGTTCATCTTTTTGTTTCAACGGTATGTTTTATCACATTCATTTATTGTTGTGACACACTTTCTGTTTCTACTGCAGACATACAGTTAAAGGATTACATTCGCTACCTTTACTTTGAGCACAAATGTGAAGCCAGGAAACCACAGACAGTTACAATGTGCCTCTTTTATAAAAAGGAGGGTGGTAAGTGTCTTTAAGTTAGATTTCTCAGCATGCCATGCAGCAAAATGTACAGGCTCAGGGGCAATCATAGAGCACAGCAAAATTTGTCTCCACATACTGCAGAAGAAAAAAAAAAGTTGATTTTACCCTATTGTGTGCTTCTTCACCAGCACCATGTGAAAAACCCCAGGACTTTATTGCTTTTAGCGAAACAGGCAGTTCTGCCAACTTATCCTGGAGAGCAATACCCTTGGTGAACCAAAGAGGTTTCCTCACACACTACAGACTCTGCAGCATGAAAATCAACCCAGGGGATGAGCCGAAAGGTGTGGGAATCACTTTTTTCTCCTCTGTAACTGTTTATTTTAATTTTTTTTACAAGTAACAGGATTATCAGTTGTTGATTACTGTGTCAACAACAGTGGGTGACTGTCTGTAGGATTTTTTTTCAGATTTAGTTTCATCAGACTGCCATAATATATCAGCTACACTGACAAAATACCACCTGGGTAACCTGACCCCGGGGTCAAAATACAACGTCAGCCTGGCCGGAGTGACACGGGTGGGAGAAGGTCCTGAAGCCACTGTAACTATCATTACACTACCAGAGACGCCTGTGAACGGTACCAGACTAACAGAATCAACTCTCATGTTGAAATACTTTTGTAGGTTTTCATCAAGTTAAATACAAGCAGAGAGGTTTTTGCACATGTGAATGCTAACTTATTTTCCCTGTCTCCTTTTTCTCACCCAAATTAGTCTGGTTAAGTTTGGGTCTGCTCATTGTGTTCTTTTTAATCACAATATTGTGCGCCATTATCTTGAAGAGGTAGGTGATTGTTTTTTAAAATCATATAGTCTTACTTTAAAGGCACTAAATGTCTTTTTTGTTATCACACCAGCTTTCCCATTATTCTGATGACGTAAGTTGTTATTAGAAAGAAATCTAAAAAATGAAGCAAATAAACAATCTTTAATTCTACCCTCGTGTTTAACAGTTGACACAGGGGTTTCCCAAACTTTTACAGTAGATTTAACTGTTTGTAGTCTGGTTATTCAAAGCGGATCCTTTTTTTCTTTAACTGTTTCTGCTTTGTTTACTCAGAATCAAAACCAACATCTTACCTCCTGTGCCAACACCTGTTATTCTAGATTTCGAGCCCTATCAACCGGAGAGTCAGGTAAATCTAACATGGAGAGTTCTTTGCCTGGGTGTGAACTGTTTAGCTCTTACCTGTTCGGAAACTCCAACAGCTGGACATTTACTCATGTATATACTATGGGAATTTGCTTTAGAGTCACAAGTGCCTGGGGAGAATTTGGGGGTTTTATCTTTTTTTAACACACACACACACAATAAAAGCTGATTGCTTGCAACCTCTTTTAGCAAATACCTGCTTTGTGCTGATATACAATACAGTAGAATAGACCTTCTCTCACTTCATTTACCTTTCCAATAAAAAAAGTTAAAACATAAAAAATGTGGATAACAAAACTTAAATAACAAAAACTAAAATTACAGGAATGCACGCTGCCTTTCAAAGAAGAGCACATTGACTATCAGTGTCAGATTATTCTGTGCATAACCACAGTAAACATACAATAGTGTTGATAGTGGTTGTGCTAATATTCCACACACTCTTGTCACCACAAACTCTGGAAGCTTTGGCAATGTTTACTTGGGAAGAACTCCTTCTTATGTCACCTTTGTGCCATAATAAAATCTACACAATTTTCTTCAAATCCAGCTCAGTTACCTGGTGTAAAAACATTTTAAAGGATGCCAGAGTCTAAAAAATGTTTCTGTGGCAGTCTTGTAGCAGTTGTGCATTTGGGGTTCAGTGTCTTCCCCCAACATGTGGAATGAAAAAAACCAAGGATTTAACTATTGACCCGTGCCACCTCCTGAGCCACAGCTACCCCAAAAATCCCAGTGTGGTATGACATCACCAATAAGCCCTTTTAATGATATAAACAACATTTTTACTAACTGGAATCTAAACCTACACCTGCAAACCCATGATATCAGTCCAGTAGCTACTACGATGCACAAGCTAATGAGCTAAACTAAGTGTGTTTTTACATGATGGGAGGAATTAGCTAATGACCTCAAATCACATTTGACTGAAAAGTTAATGAATATGCCCCCAGGGTCTGGATAAGCCAAGAAAAATGATTTTAATATTTTACAGGAAGACAGCACAGAGGGTTTTTGTACCAGGAGATAACACAACAATTAACACAGATTAAGAAATTGTAAAATGTGGAAGTTTATTATGCACACAGTACTTTTAACAGCAGATAAATTACAAAGCTAAATATGCATCAACAACCCATCATCCTGAGTTTGCACATGGTGGGAATTAAGTTACAAGAAAATTAGTTGTATGTATATGTGTTTTGGGTGAGTGGAAGTGGAAGTGGAAGTAATAAGTAAAACTGACAAACGGAGGCAGTTGGCATGACTAGATGTCTCACTTTTTTTTACCCAAGGAAGTAGATGAAACAGAGGAAAGTCCCCAGTGAAAGACAATGTGAGAGAACTACAAACCTTGATTTTGACCAGACAGCAGAACCAATTCCTTAGACATACAGTAGCAGAGGGTACAGTTGCGTCAAAGCAACTGTCAATAGTTTCTTTTTTTTGTAGAAACTACACACCACTATATTTCTATTATAACTAAATAGCTGATAAAACTCAAATTTACAGGGTGAATATAAAAATACATCACTGATGAGGTAAAAATGGTTGCCTCTTTCTTGATGACCTATAAGAAAAACAATTTTGTGATTCAACTACAATAAAGGTACCGACAAAGGTCTTGCACACATTGTTCTTATAGACAAATATGAAAGATCAAAAATATTTTACTGAGAAGGAACCAAAGGATCACGTTTCATGATGCTGTAGTCACCATTAGTGGAAAACAAGTGATTGTATTTATGCATTCAGTATCAACATTTTGGGGACTAGTCAGCTACATTAACACTATTTCCTCATTTTAATACTTAACCCTGTAAAGCCTGACACATCAAAAAATAACCAGAACATTCAAATTTTTTGGAACTGAGATGTTCATTAAACCTTTTAACAAAATCCAAAAGAAAATTCAAGATTCAAGATTTTTATTTGCCATTTATGCAGACAGACAGCCCAGGCATATAGGAATAAATGTGCCATATTATTTTGTTTATTTTTTTGTATCACATTTGATACATGGGGCATTTTTGGCAATTTTTCTTGCTCAGAAACTCGCGTAGCAAATATGATACAAATGGTTTTATAGGGTTAAGATTTTATGTTTATGTGTCAGAGGTGCATACAGTTGTACAGGTGTTCCTATTAAAGTGGCCAGTCAGTGTATTTCACAGCAAGAAAGCAAAACAGTGACACATTCCTTTAATGATTTGTATTATAAACAGAATAGATGATAACCAGAGAAAAGTATCTGAAAGTATTTGAATCTTTAATCTTACTGTGACCTACAACAGCAGATGGTGGAGGGGAAAGAGGAGGTGCATGAGCTGATGCTGCTTCGGCAGCATCCAGAAGGCAAGTCTGTCTCAGTGGATGCAGAGGGGACCACTGTCCTCCAAGAGGAGTGGGGCGATGGAACTGCCGAGGACGTGGAAAATGAGAGGGGAGATTCAAGTATGTCAGGAGGGAGCAGTGATGAGAGCCTTGACTCTACAGACGAGGTGCCAAAGAGCTCCAGAGAAGAAGAAATAATAGATCTGGAAGCAGTAGAGAATGAGATCGCCATGCTGATTTACAGGAACGGTTTGGTCTTTGATTTGAAGACAGACATGACTTAAAATATGTAAGTTTGGGTTTTACTGCCGCACAGCACAAAATTGCACAAAATCTTAACATATTTGTTCATTTACCGAATGAGTACCTTTCCTGTTTGAGTAGTTTTATCTTTTTGAACAATAATGTATCTGCAAAAGCATCTTGTGATGAAGAACGTGTTGTGTTTTGTGTTGGACATTAGTGTATTTTTGTACACTGTCAGTGACATTTTACATAAAGAGGTGAGAGGGCTATATGAAAACAGAAGGATTAACCAGTCAGACTTCATCAATGCATGCTATTAATAAACCCCTTTTTAAAATATAGTGGAGAATAAATCCTCATGTGTGTTAACATACTTGGCTAAATAAAGTGATCATCATTAACTTTCAATACAAATCAGATAATCCAACAATACATTTTCTCTGTTATTTTTCTTTAACAACAGGGATATTCTAATAAAAACAGCAGCTTTACTGTAAAAGGTATAGGTCATTGTTGGTCAGTGTGAAATGAAACCTAGGAGACTGTATGAACAAAGAAGCAGTGTATGTAATGACAGAGCAGCACATTTGTGAACCTGTGAAGAGGTTGCGGCAGGAAGTGATCGCACACACACACACACACACACACACACACACACACACAAATGACCTAAAACGCAGCTCATGCAAAGTGAAAGGATTGTTTAGTCATAACCAAAGACACTTCTGTTGTATTTCAACGTTGTGCAAACTAGAACATGACTTGTTTGCGTGTTAAATTAGTTCAGACTTACAGTATTTTCCATTACACTGCATCTCAGTTTCCCACCAGAACAAAATGATCCTTTTCTCGGTTCCTATATTATTTAGCTAAGGCCTGCTGGAGGAGAGGGAAATCAACAAGACAATCAGTCTGTTGTGTCACAGTCAATGAGTCAAAGTTTTATCTCTCACTACATCAAGATTAAAATCATCTGTCTTGACCACAGAAATGAGGCTGATAAACATCTGATAAACATGATGTGTGGTTAAAACACTATCAAAGGATACCATGTTGTGTATAGATAATAAGGACATGTATCCTCAGGAAAATATGGACTTGAGATTGCAGAGATTATTTTATAGACATTTATTAGTATGCTTTAAATCAAAGATGTGGTGTTGGTCAAATACGTAAAAGAAGGCTGTCAGCTTATTAAGCATGTTTTCCTATTTTCTGACATATAAACAAAACAATTAATTGAGAATCAATCATGAAATAATATGTGGTGGAAAGTAACTAAGTACATTTACTCAAGTATTTTACTTAAGTACAGTTTTGAGGTATCTGTACTTGAGTATTTAAATTTTTTGCTACTTTGTACTTCTGCTTAACTATATTTTAGAGGCAAATATTGTACTTTTTACTTTATTTATTTGATAAATGTAATACTAGTTACGTTTCAGAATCAGATAAAATACTTGTAAAATCATAAGATGTTATTGATCCCTGCTAGGAAAATCACAAGCTACACAGCAGTGATTGAAATATAGTTATATAAGGGAGTTAAAATGAGCTCCACCTTTACCAGCTGCAGCATTGAATGCGATGTACACAATAAAGCATCAATAATTATAATCCAATATTATGATATACAGTAATTAATGTGAAATGTGCTATTCTGCATACTTTGGATACTTTAAATATAGTTTGACGACTATACTTTTGTGACACCATTTTGAATGCAGGACTTTTACTTGTATATAAAGTAATTTTACATAATACTTTCCTTACTTAAAGAATATGAGTACTTCCACCACTAAAAATAATCGTTGGCTACAACCCTAATTACATGTACTTGTATCACTGGACTGGTCTGGGAACATGTAACTACGGCGCCTTCTAGTGGACAGGCGCTGTCAGTGCAGGGGAGGACGTTTAGCAAACAGGCGGTAGGTGGAGGAGGAGAGGTTATCACCGTGTTTCGCAGAGCACAGACCGGTGGTTCCATCAGTCTGTGTCTGAATAGCAGGCTGTTTCCTTACCATCAAAACATAATGAATAGACTATCCGTGCCGCTGGCCTTCATATAACGCTTCTGAAAATGCCATATGCGAGTTGCTCTGTGTTAGAAGATGGCGGAGTCGGATGGTGGCGATTTGGCTTCGAAACATTTACAGAACAGGTGAGTGAAGTAGGGTGAAGCTGTGGTGTGTCCGCGGTGTTGGGCTGTCTCCTCGGTGTCACCTAGTACGAGTCCTCCACGGCTCCGGGAAGGCAACCTGGTCCGAGGGGACTGGAGCGTCCACCTTGACTTCAGGAAACACCGGGGAGCTGCTCAGGCCTCAAGGCCAGTTGCTTTAACTGCAAAAAGAAACCAGCTAACAGTTACCTGTACCTATTTATTATTATTGTTAATCGGTTTTGTTTTTTTTAGACCAGTAGCGTTGTTCTTAACCAGGGGAATCCCATTGTAGTCAGGTTACAAACGTCTTTTACAAGGTTGCCCTGGTCAGGACAGTAGCATCACAGAAGGTATGAAGAAGAATCTGTGAACACTGGCCCAACATTTCTCTACTGACCTTTGTTGCTGTTGGTTTTTAAATATGGACCCTTTGTTATAGTTTAATTAGTTATACATTCTTTTATAAATGAATTGGCATCAAATAAAATTGTGTTAAATTGACAGGATTTATAGTTATTCAATATAATAGTGATAATGATTAAGGGTGTACTCACTTTTGTTGTATACTCTATTGTTTCCTATGGCCAGCAGTGAAGTAGTTGTGCATTTTTCCATTTAACATATGCTCCTAGAAACTATTATATGCTGGTGAAACAGACGGTATGTTCAATAATGTGTGGATATGTTGTGTCTTTGTTAGACTGCAAATGCACACAGCACTCTCACCTATGCAGACACTGTACACTAAGGATTGTGTTTCCCACTGGCCAGCTGTAGCAGATAAGATTAAGTTTCCATCCCAGTCTGTTGCTGTGTGCATTTGCAGTCTAACAAAGACACAACATATCCACACATTATTGAACATACCGTCTGTTTCACCAGCATATAATAGTTTCTAGGAGCATATGTTAAATGGAAAAATTGTGACAATGCCTTTTTTCTTCCAGTATGGCTAACAAGAACAGTACCCTGCGCTGTACTTTCTCGGCCCCAAGCCACAGTGCTACCCTTCTGCAAGGTTTGTCTGTTTTGCGAGCTCAGGGCCAACTACTTGACGTCGTGCTGGCTGTCAATGAGGAGCGCTTCGAGGTCCACAAAGCAGTACTGGCCGCCTGTAGTGATTACTTCAGGTCAGTCTGAATCATATCGGGGGCACTTAGCTGATGCTACACTGAGTGCACTGTTAAAGCAAAGTGCACTTCACAAATGACTGAATTATATTTAAAGCAATTTAGTGGGGAGAGGAATACATGTGCTCTGACAAAGTCACAGAAGATCATAGAAAATTCATGTAATCTTACATCAGTGCCATGCATTTTAAAGAGATGGTCTTCTTGTTTTACAGAGCAATGTTTACCGGTGGCATGAGGGAGTCTAATCAAGACACCATTGAGTTGAAGGGTTTGTCTGCGCGTGGGCTGAAACACATTATCGATTTTGCCTACAGTGCAGAAGTCACTTTAGACTTGGACTGTATTCAGGATGTCCTGGGTGCAGCTGTGTTTCTTCAGATGGTCCCAGTCGTGGACCTCTGTGAGGAGTTCCTCAAGTCAGCGATGAGCGTGGAGACCTGCCTGCACATCGGCCAGATGGCCACCACCTTCAGCCTGTCTTCCCTCAAGGAATCGGTGGATGCCTTCACCTTTCGTCACTTCCTCCAAATTGCCGAGGAGGAGGACTTTCTGCACATTCCCATGGAGCGCCTCATCTTCTTTCTGCAGAGTAACAAACTCAAGAACTGTAGCGAGATTGACCTCTTCCACGCTGCCATCAGGTGGCTCCAGTATGAAGAGTCTCGCCGGGCTCAAGCCAGCAGTGTGCTCTGCCACGTGCGCTTCCCGCTCATGCGCTCCTCAGAGCTGGTGGACAGTGTTCAGAAGGTGGACATCATGGTGGAGGATGTGCTGTGTCGCCAGTATCTTCTTGAGGCCTTCAATTACCAGATTCTTCCCTTCCGACAGCATGAGATGCAGTCCTCACGGACGCTCATTCGTTCTGATGTCATGTCACTCATCACCTTTGGTGGGACGCCCTACACTGACAATGACCGCACCGTGAGCTCCAAGGTGTACTGTCTCCCTGACGTCACCTCCCGCCAGTTCAAAGAGCTGACAGAGATGGAGACGGGGTGCAGCCATGCTTGTGTTGCTGTACTTGACAACTTTGTGTATGTTGTCGGTGGACAGCACTTACAGTACCGCAGTGGTGAAGGTGCAGTAGACAGCTGTTTCCGCTATGACCCACATTTGAACCAGTGGCTGCGCATCCAACCCATGCAGGAAGCTCGTATCCAGTTTCAGCTCAACATGCTGCATGGACAGTTGTATGCCACTGGAGGGCGTAATCGATCTGGCAGTCTGTCATCTGTGGAGTGTTACTGCCCAACGAGGAATGAGTGGACTTACGTGGAACCACTGAAACGCAGGATTTGGGGTCATGCAGGGACTCCCTGTGGACAAAAGCTGTATGTCTCAGGGGGTTACGGGGTCTCTCTGGATGACAAGAAAACTCTTCACTGCTATGATCCAGTATCAGACCAGTGGGACTTCAGAGCTCCCATGAATGAACCCAGAGTGCTGCATGCCATGATCAGCACCGGGGATCGGGTTTATGCTCTGGGCGGTCGCATGGACCACGTGGACCGTTGTTTTGATGTGTTGGCAGTCGAGTATTACATTCCAGAGAGCAACCAGTGGACCACTGTGAGTCCCATGAGAGCGGGGCAGTCTGAGGCAGGCTGCTGCTTACTGGACCGGAAGATCTATGTCGTTGGAGGTTACAATTGGCACCTGAACAATGTCACAAGCATCGTGCAGGTGTACAACACAGAGACAGATGAGTGGGAAAGGGATTTACATTTCCCAGAATCTTTTGCTGGCATTGCCTGTACACCAATTATACTGCCACAAATCACTACACAACGCTAACTGACTGACCTGCGACTGTGAAGATTATATTTCATGTGCTATTTCTGCTGACCAACACAAGGTGTGAACATTCTGTAAGCTGCTGTTGTATGTGTGTGTGTGTGTTTGTGAGTGAGAAAACCTGCTATACTAAGCAACATTACATTATTGTCTATTCTTTTTTGGGAAAGATGTGTCTAATGAAGGTTTTTTTTGTTGTTGACATGTTTTTCTGATACAGAAACAAGCTTTTGCAATACAGGTGATAATAGGTTTTGACAGTTGGTATCCACCAAGACATTTTGATACATTCCAATAGAAAGACCAAGATGATGTTCAGCATAATTTCCTGTTGACTTCAGTAACAGATTGGTAGATGTATTGTTTCCAAGTTTTTGTGATTTCATATTTGGAAATATAAGCTCACTGGTGAATGACCTGGAATGAAATCAGTTCTCTTCCAGAATATCATTATCTATTGTAAATTTAAAATGCTTTTCTTACAAAAATATTAATAACTTGGCCAGTGAAAGTGTTAGTTTTACCTGTCAAGGGCTTAAGTTGACAGCAATAATAGGCTCTTTTGATTTTATTATTTTATCAGAGGTCATGTCTCATCAAAATCTTGTTTTTGAATGAAAGTCTTGAGTTAAAGTTTGCTGTGAAAAGATATTGACATACTTGACCTTTATAATGTTGGACATTTTGATTGTATTGTTGCAATTTTTTAAAATTTGTTTTATTAAAACATTCAAGTCAATTGATAATCTAGCTGTTTTTCCATGTTTATCAAATGTACTAATCAACAAACCACATAACAATGCACAGTAATGATTGCACACATGAACACTAGTATTGAGTGCGTTTAAAATTTTATTTTCTTTTTTTCTTTTTTTTATTGATGCCACATGTTTCCTGGGTGTAAACTAGAGTGTGGATACCTGAACCAAGCCCGATGGGCCAGATTTGGGCAGAAGTGTAGAAATTATGTTCAGTTCTGTGCCGGGTTTGGACATGTATGCCAAACATTATATACTATAAGCTTGTTGGGTCGGGTGCCACACTCTCAGGCACTGGTCAGATTCAGGCAGAAATATGCGGTCAACATAACAAACCACTGTGGACCTCCTAAGGCAGCTACATAAATTATTGTGTCTCCATTGGAATGTCAGTATGTGCTGCTCTTTTTTGTTAAACAAGTGTTACGTCTTGCATTCGGTACATGCTTTTGTCCCAAAGCTACAGTGACATGGTAACAACTACCTTGTAAATGATAATTGTCTTTTAAAGTCAAGATTTAACATCTGAGTTATTGCACAAACCCTGACAAATACATAATTTTGATGGAGAACACATTCAAAACTACTTGTCAGTTGTAGCTGGTGCTGGCTTATGTGTTTTTTATTACTGCATTGTAGCACTTTTCAACACAGTTTTTATCAGACATCTGATTTTGCTGCTGAAGTAAAAATATACTTGATGGATTGTTTGCCTTAGTGTGTTTTTGTGTTGTTCTCCCTGTACCAATAAAAGCACATTATACGGTTAAAGTGCAATATAAAGGCAACCACTGTAGTTAAAGGGGAATGTAGACATTTGTGTAGCTTTATGTACATCCTTTATTAAACCACCATCTTTTAAAAATGCCCTTGAGGTGCTTTTTATTTTGACAACAAGCCAATTGAAGCACTGTCTCGCATTATACGAGGTTGAATATTTGCATCCACACACCCATAGAAACTTAAAGGGACAATTACTCTGTAGGTTTACCTAATAAGTACATTTGTGTTTCTTTTCATTGGTGTTGCATTTATGATTTTCATTATCTTAGATTACCTATTATTTCCTTGATTAATAGTGTGTTCTCCGAAATACTAGAAAATAGTATAGTAAATATCCATATATGCTTTACTGGTATCACTTTCTGATAAGACATCATTTATAAGGGGTCTACAAGCAGTATTTAATGGACTAATTATATGGTGGTTCATTGTTTACTGATCAGTTATTAGCTATTAAAACAACTTTTGAGTTGTCAGGTTGCAGAAAATCTTCCTCTAGCATCAGGCTTTTAAGGTCTTTTTAACAATTCCCCTTGAATGGACTTTTTGATCACTCAGCTTCTGAAAAAATAATGCAGGACATCTGCACTGTAATAAAATGTGAAGCTAGAGACTTGATGGATTAATTTTATAATCCTTTATTAATGGTTTAATATTTATTGGTGACTTTAGCTGATGGCTTATTACAAATCGAGAAACTATTTGCCCACTGTTAATGACATACTAACATTTTAACTGCATACAAACTGACATTAGAAAGTGAGAGATATGGTGCTCTTTATTAATGACTTATAGACTTATAACAAAAAGCTCTATGACTTGGAGGGGTCTCCCCACTTAAGGTGGAGTGTTAGCAAAGTGTCGTGCTGGAGGAGGATTTTCCACAACTTGGCAACCCAAGAGTTGTTAATACCTTGCAACCTATATTTATTACTTAATAATTACTTATTAACCAGTACTAGAGCCATTAACTACAACTAAACACTTAATAAATGGTGCATTATCAGAGAGGGAACCACTCTATTTTACTATGTATACACAATATATATTTATTTCACAATTTATACAGTATCTTGAGAACAAAAATCACCTTTGTTGTGAATAAAGTGAATCTTATCTAATTTTATGCCAAACTGGCACAGTCCCAAAACTTGGGTTACTGGCAATCGTTGAAGCAAAAAGCAGAATGGTCAAGACACGCTGACCGTGCGTGATGACGACACCAGAAAGCCCTGGTGTGGTTCGTAACGTTACATTCCATTGAGAAGAAGAGGGAAAGATGGCGTCCTCAAACAATCCTCGCAAATTTAGCGAAAAAATCGCTTTGCATAATCAGAAGCAGGCGGAGGAGACTGCTGCGTTTGAAGAAGTGATGAAAGATTTGAACATCACCAGAGCTGCACGGGTAAGCACAGAACACCCCGAGTGTTTACATTTTGTTGCATCGCTGTTTGGCAGCTAATGAGCACTGCGGTGATAAATCTGGACGTCGGGTTGCTAAGTAGCCGATGTTAATATTAACGTCCTTAAGTCGCATCAATGTAACACCACAAATTATATTTTTTTTGTTTGTCAAAACACACTAGCATGATTCGGGTATATATGGGCAGCGTTAAATAGCTTAGCTAGCCTCCTGGCGCTGTGTGAATAATGAGCACCTGTGCTCTGTGGTTGGTTTGAGCAGTCGCTGCTCACATTTGAAAAGCAAACAAATCGCCTGACATGTTAATTAACGTTACTGAACAATATGTTAAGAAAGTCAGCTTCTATAAATTAAATTGGAGGAATATCTCTGCGGCCAAGTTAGCATTTGTTAGCCCATTGGATATTATTCAGCCTTCCAAGATGTGATTTCTTTTCCCCCGTTAGTCATTTAAGTTAACGTTAATTACTACTAGCTTAGTGTTACACGTTACAGTAGCTCGGTAACGTTAGCATATGATCTAGCAATTGGAAAAAAAATAAGCAAATGCAGACTTGTGGAAAATAAAGTCAGCTCTAGCCGACTCACAGGACTTTGTTTCATTAGCTCCATCTCCACTAGTTTAATTTAGTTAGCTTATGTTTATGTCAAGTCAGGTATTCTGGCAATTTCTCGTAATAAAGGTATTTGTTAATGCAACCTGATATTAACAATTATTTCCATTTATAGCATTAATCTGCCGATAATTAGTTTTAAAAAATTCATTTTATTTTAATTGTGTTTTTGTCTATATGTATCAGAAGTCAAAATTGTGATTAAAGCGTAAGAAGTGTTTACTTGTTTAATCGAGTAGTCCATTGATAGAAAACAATCAGTGCTTTTGATGATCAATCATTTATTCGTCTTATTACTTGGGTAGCGTTTTCAGCTTCTTAAATGTGAGGATTGTTTTTTTCCTGGCTTGCAACCATGTATTGATCAAAACAAGCAATTTTAAATTGTAGCTGAGCTCTAGCACATAAGAATTTTTCGCAACTTTTTTACGTTTTATAGACTAAACAATTGGACCATTAATCGAAAAAAAAAAATAAATGCATTACTGATAATTAAAATAATATAGTTGCAAACTTAGATTACCCCGTAAAAAATCTGAAAGCCATGAAACATCTTCATTATAATTCAATGAAGAGTGGGATGTTGGATTGTCTTTTAGTAAACAATAAAATAATTTGGAATCATGTGGCAAATATTAACTTTTTGTAACCTGAAAATGACAAACAATTAATTGATTTCCAAAACGATTGCCAGCTTATATTCTGTTGATAAAGTAATATTTTCATCTTGATTATCCACAAACAGAATGAACAGCTTGTTGCCAGGAAACATTTGGGCTAATTGTTGGCCCTAGTGCTGGAAATGACGCCCACTTACCACACGCTGCATCAGTGTAAACCTGAGCTGTACTGTCATTTACTGCAGAGGAAAAGATGGAATTAACTACTCAGTTTTGTGGTCAGAATGCTTTGTGTTGTCATCCACACATTAGTCCATTACATTTGTTCAGATCATCGGTTTTACTGTAGTTCTTTATTGGTAATGAACTACATTAAGACTTCAGTTCGTAATAACATACATGACTTTTGTGATGGATTTTGTAAGGCACGTGGCCTATGTAATAGCCAGGTTTGTTACATGGATAGTAACAAGCTGTGAGTCAGGTGTCATTCACATCAGACAATGTGATTTTTAAAATTTATTTATTTGTTTATTTGCTGTGAAAGATGTCTGCTTAATTGTTTGTTGAACAGCCACATTTGCCTCATCTGTCTCATCATGTTTTGTCTGTTAGTTATTTGATTCATTAATCTTTCACTTTATGAACTGTGGACTAGCAGGAGTCATTCATTTTTACCATCACTTTTTTGTGACTCAGATCAACCATTCTCTCATGCTTTCATGCAATTTTACTTTGCACAGTTGCAGTTACAGAAGACCCAGTATTTGCAACTAGGGCAGAATCGTGGACAGTACTATGGAGGCTCACTGCCCAATGTCAATCAGATTGGAAATGGCAACATTGACCTGCCTTTTCAGGTGAGCCCTTAGCCTCTGTTGGCTGGTAAATCAATGGTTTGTTCTCAACCAGTGTACCTTTTTTGGCTGTTGGCTGTAGTATTGGACATACAAATGCTGCAGTTATCTGTAGTATTGGTGAAAGATTGACTCAAAACGGTGAATTCTTTAGAAAGCAATTAAAAATCTGCAGGATTTGCTTAGGCTGTAATGGCAGTAAAGGTTCAGAAATGACCTGCTGGTTAAAGTTGCAAGGTCTGACAAGGTTTTATCTTTGTTCAGGAGCAAAAGGAAGCCAGAAGTGTTCTATGCTGCACATATCAGTTATACCCTGCTGTGTAATTTGGTTTTTAAATTTTAAAGTATATCATTGCTTGTCATGGCTTTCCATCTATAAATACATTTGCCAACTCAAGCATCAGTATGGGGGGCCCATGGCTTGATTCATTTTGAATTAGACACATTTGCACCATTAATCCTAATACATTATCCCGAGACAGTCTTTCTGTCTGAGTTGTTTTGCTGGCTTCATTCACCTGCTGTGTTCACTCTAGAACTCGGTGCTGGATACCAGTCGGACAACCAGGCACCACGGACTGGTGGAGCGTGTCTACCGTGATAGGAACCGCATTACATCTCCTCACCGCCGGCCGCTTTCAGTCGACAAACACGGGCGGCAAATATCCTTACTTTTGAAGCACATGGAGATGGGAAAGTTTTGACTTCACTAGTTGTTAATGCTTGGGTGTGATTTTTAAGTCTGACGCCTGCTTTGAGTCTGCATCAGGTGGGGTGGATTTGGACCTCAGGCTTGTTGTAGCCCACCTTTAGTAATGCACTCTTGGATGACTCTGGGAAACCTGGGCTTGCAAGTTAAGTTTGATTTAGCCATTTCTGGAGACAGAACACTATCAATTGTGGATAGTTTTTGAGTGATCCACTCGTCGTTGGCTGGTGTTGCTATCATTTACTGGGAATCCACAATACTCACAAGCAGAAATACAACTAGATTTTATTTCAGCTGTATTATATTATAGTTGGAATGACAAACTTGAAGTAAATCTGAAATTTAGATAGGGTCAGTAAACTATACAGCGATGTCTTTTTATTTGCTTTAGCCAGATAGATCGGCCTTAATTAGCATGATTTAGCTAACAAGCACAGGTAAGGACTGTAATTGTACTGTGAAACAAATTGCACTGGAATTGTTTGTTTCATAGAGTGTACTAAACCAGCCATGTTGCGTACAACATGGTTTGTGAGGAATACATAAAAGCAATATTTGAGAGCTCAGAGTGAAACACTCGTGATTTGCCTGATCCATTTAGAGTGACTGTTCGGCATTGTATGCACGCCTAGCGCAACAACAAAACGCTAGATGCAGTGATGGTGAGGTGTCATCTCACAGTACTGCATTGTTCTTCAGATCTTGAACAAAGAATGGGGTGAATTCTTTGCTTCACCACATGTATTGAGAGCCTGATTTTGAATGATACAATATGAAACTGTGTGTTGCTAAACTCCCATTGACAGAATTGTCCTTATAAATGTGTTTCACCAGTAGTTAAACACTGAAAACTTTTCTAAGTAATTGAATCCCAGCAACACTTGTGTGTAGTCATTTATTATGCATCAGGTCTGTTGGGTTGCATCAGTGAATGAAAGTTTGGTTGAGCTCAGATTCATTTTTCATCCCCTCTGCTTTATTAGCCTTAACTGAATTCACATTGACAGCTGTCCTTACAGCTCAGTTTACCTCTCCCCACCACCAGACACTAGCTGGAGAAGGTAAGCCACCTCCTCATTGCCGAAATGATAACAAGCACACAACCAGATACGGCTCAATGGCAAGAATAACGTTACCTGATTTTTTTTTATTTTTTTTTTTAAATTACTGTGCATCTGTGTTGGTACAAAATGTCCAAACTGATCCAACTGGGCATAATGTTTGTTAGTTTGTTATTCTTGATGAAAAGGATGCTTTGTTGGCATTCTGCCCTAAGTGGGGAATTTGGCAGTGAATTTTTTTTTTTTTTTTTTTCTCCCCTACCGACATCTTATCTTTCTAACACATGCAGGACAAATTCGGACTCTGCTTTACACCAGAGTGCCATGAATCCGAAATCCCAGGAGGTGTTTGCAGGAGGTTCACAGGAGCTGCAGCCAAAACGAGGTAATGGAAGATCCAGTTACAAAGACCCAGAGCTGCTTTTAGTTATTAATGTACTAATACAGGTGGCAGACCTTTAATGACGTAAGAGTTGATGTCGCAAAGAAGACAGTCTAGACTATTGTTAAAATATTTATAGAGTAAATGGAGACTGATCTCTGGCAAAGAACTACATCATGCTGGTGCAGTCCTCAGCTAACATCTCTGAATGAAGCTGACTCAAGCTGGTCTACAGAGGGGGATCAATAATTCACTGATTATCCACTGAATGTGTCTTTTTACATGTGAGGCTTTGATATAATGAAGCCAAGATTGGCTGGCATCCGCTCAGTCTCTGCTGGTCACCTTGCTATTTTTAGAGACTCAGGAATTTAGTGCACAGCACTATATTCTGCATGACTGGCTGAGATATTGATGACTCATTTCTTGCATGGATTTGAATAGTGATGCGTTTTGTCATAGCAAGCAACTGTGTCTTGCTGTTTCACTAATTAGTCCTGCTGCTAACGACTCCTGGGGCGGAGAATTCAGAGTCCAGTGCAGAGAAGGACTCGCAGAAACAGTTGTGGGATGATGAGAAGGTACTGATGGGAGAGGGAAGGGCTACATGTTGTACACTTGGTATGATGCTTGCAGCTTATGATTATTTTGTCCACAGGATGATTCATCAAAGCCCAACACATGTGATGTCCCAGGAATCAAGTGAGTGGTAAAAGTATATTGTTTTACTACTCTTTACAGTGAAACAGCTCTAGAGTATAGTGGTCTGTCAGTCACACAACCATAAATAAATCATGCTCAAAGTGCACTAATAGAAGACAGCTGGTCTAGGTTTGCAGGAAACTTGCTGGAAAGGCACTTGGACAATTTGCCTGTAGTCCTGTAGGAAATGGTTCTTATGGTGGTACTATATACCACAACTGATGACAGTAAATCCTAAGGGTGCTGATCACTGTTATTCAGGATCAAGATACTTTAACATCATCTTGAGGACAACAAAACCTTTTACATGATGACAAAGACTATGTTGGGATGCCTTTGGGTGTCAAATTTAATTTCTTCATATCTATCTATCTATCTATATATATATATAT